CCCCAAAACCCCAAAACCCCAAAACCCCAAAACCCCTTGATGCAATTAAAGTGGAATATGAATTAATTTAGTAAATATAAGATTATTATAAAAATGCAAGCCATTAAAAATTAAAGATCAAAAATTTTGACACTACTAAAGTCTTCTCAGTCACGCTTAGTTCCTCCTTCATTCAGCCACACTCTGAGAGCCTTTGCCTCAACAAACAAATTCAGCAGATCTTCACCCCTGAATTATCAATTCTATTAGATAGGAGTAAAGGACTTAAATGCTGATTAAGCTGGCCTCCAAGACTTAGTCCCTCGTCCTAAGAAAACTCAGATTCAGTTCATGTGCAAGGGTGCCTTCCCCCTTGATAGATAGGGTACTCATATGCTGCCTAAGCTTCCCACAAGAAGTGTTATTGAAGATTACCTTGCTTCTAAAAAGGTTGATGAAGATATACTCATTGATCACTTTGGCAATATGTTCACTAGCACTCTAGACAATATAGCAAAGAGAGATTACGGTAAATTAGAGAAGCTATTGGAAAGCAAATTCTATGAAACAATTCTCTAGAACAAAGATAACCTAGAGAGATTCAATCTCAGTTATGATCTGAACAAGGTAGATGCGAATGAGTCATTTATTATTGATAAGATGCTGATCAAGGGTCTCTATCATGACAGAAGTAAGAATGGAGTGAACTACGATTACATGCTTGTCAACGAATAAGAGCATTATGGCATCAGATTCTACCTGCATAAGTACTTCGTGGGCTACAATGCTTACTATTTGGCTATTGAAAACGAAGAATTCTTCAGAATACAGAATGAGAAGAATGAAAAGATGACTCCCGATGATTTCAATACAATGTATAAAACCAAGGACACATTTGATGATTTATCGTTTAAACTTAAAAAAAGAATGCAAGAGTCTCAGCATTCAATGATTCTCAGAGTTACTTTTCAATTCAGAGATACAAATAAAGCCCTTTCAGCTTCTTAAGGCCCAGAGCCTCTCTATGACCCAGACTACACTGGCAACCACATCATCGTATTTGAAAATCAATTGACTATGCCTTCCTTGATGGCTATGATTGATCATTCCGAGTAGGAATTCATTAACTTAAGAAAGCTAAATTTCAAGAACTGGCGCATAGTAGATATAGATAACTACATGAAGGGCAATTCATTCTTCCAGAAGCATAAAACAGATAAAGAATTCACTGATCAGATGGAGTTTTACTTAGGCATCAATGATGGTGATAATAAACCAACCAAGGAATAAAAGAAAGATCTGCGCCAAGACTTTGAAAAACTTGCTAAATTTATTTTGTCTTCAGAACCAAGAAGCAACAGGGGTTTAGAAAGATTTATTGATGAAGTTATAGCTTAACCCGAATAAACTGTAGCTGAGGTCGAAAAGTTAGTAAAAGAGGATGTAACTAAGGACAATAAGCAATAATAGGCATAGCTAGCAATGCCTAAGGAAAAGAAACAAAAAGGTGGTGACAAGCAATAAGTTAATAAAGAGGAGAATGGTGATTAATAAAAGTAAGCCAAATAAAATGCTGCTGAAAAGAAGCCAGAGTAAAACTCAAATAATGGTAGCACTAATGAATAGGCTGAGAAGCAAGCACCTATCTAGGCAGCTCCTAAGTCTAGTGATGAAAAGTAATGACTCTTAACTTTAATTACAGCACTTATTTAAATTACTAGTTAGAATACTTTTCATTTTTCCATCTATATCAATAGCAGAAATCTTATAATCATGGGGTTTTGGGGTTTTGGGGTTTTGGGG